ACTAGATACCTGCAAATACAAGCTCATTCCATCAGGGTATTATAGTGATATGTCTATTGTAAGTGAAACAAAACGTGGTATAGCCGAGGAGCTACATATGGCGGCTCGAAGGATTTCCCCCGCCGAAGAACTATCATAAAGGGTTTCGCTGACTTGTGGCAAGCTAATTTGGCTGAAATGCAATCTTTCAGTGAAGAGAATGAGGATATAGATACATCAGTAGTTATCAATTGCTATTCTAAGTTCTTGTGGTGCAGACCAATTAAAAGGAAAGATATGGTACCGTAACTATTGCAATGGATGATATTTTTACAAACGGCTATCCACCACCCAAAGAACCTACAAACGAATAATGGATCGAAGTTCTACAACAGCAAATTTTCCGCTCTGATGCAAAAGTATGGGATTAATCATTATTCCACATATAGTACAGAAAAGCAGCAATAGTTGAGAGAGCTATCCGATCACTAAAACACCTACTTTTCACTGAATTTTCAGTCAGGGGGAGCTACCGGTAGATCAATATCTTAGCAGATGTTACTGATTTTTATAACAACAGGAGTCGACTTCCATACACGATTGAGTGTGTACAATCATCCAAGGTAGTTGGAAAAGGGAAGCTTAAACTTGGCGATATCGTCAGAGTAAGCAAATACAAAAGTCTTTTTGAAAAAGAGTATACATCCAACTATCCAACGGAGTTATTTAAAACATACAAAGTCAACATTTCAATCCAGTTACATATATGTTAGAAGACGTGGAAGTTTGTCCAATAAAAGGCTGTTTCTACGAGAAGGTAGTACTAAGAGAAACAAAATTTCCAAATGAGTACTGATTGAAAAGGTGATTAGAGAAAGGGCAACAAGCTTTTAGTTAAATGGTTGGGGTTTCCACATTGTAAAAACTCTTGGATAGATATCAATGATGTATTGTAGTGTTTTATTTGGACTCTCAGTTCTATGTTTTGTGTTAAATTAATATATATATATATATATAACAGGGTTATCCAAATAGTGTCCACCATTAGTAACTTTGTTATTAGTGAAAATACAAAGTTGTTTGAATTAACAAACTAGTTGCATTTTTAAACGCTGGTAAAAATGAGAAATAAAAAAAAAAACAATTGAGAGTCGCTATTTTGATTTTTTTCAGTAAAATAACATTTTTTTTAAATGGAAACCCCTGTATATTATATTTTTTTCTGTTAAGCATCAAATTTTAAACAAAAAAGCTTACAATAACTTTTCTCGTAGGTTACAAATTGTTGAAGGTTATGGCCTCCAATCTGAAACAATTAAATTGTATCGACAAACTTTATTTTCAACATCAACTTATAATCTTACAAAATACAATAACAATTTTTTTTAAAGAAGATGCTCGAAAACACACCTTGTTCTTCAATACATTTTTGGGCACGTTTTCAACTGCTCGAACTGTCTTAAGTATGGTCCTACCATCTATCTGGGTTATCTTTTCCCTAACTGCAGTCTTTAACGCGTCAAGGTTATCGTACCTTCGCTTGTAAATTTGGTTCTTTAAGTAACCCCACAAGAAGTAATCAAGTGGGTTTAGATTTGGTGATCTGGGAGGCCACTGTATTGGGCCATTTGTTCCTATCCACTGATCATTAAAAGTAGTACTTAAAAAATGATAAGTACCTCTGGAGTTGTGGGCAGGTGCGCCATCTTGCTGAAAATGCAGATAATGTCTACTTATAAGATCCAATTCGTCTAAGAAATTAGTCAGAATTTCTGACATAAATTCCACATATCTTTCACCAGTTAGCGTTCCCTCATAAAAGAACGGGCCAACAATTTTTGAACCAATTATACCGCACCAAACGTTGAAACTGAAACGGACTTGTGGGCCTCTTGGATGTACTAACAAAAGATTTTCTCTTGACCAATAATGGTGGTTTTTTCTATTAAACATTCCAGAATTTGAAAAATTTGATTCATCTGTCCATAAAAGGTAACGAAAGTTATTTACATTTGGCGACAGAAGCTAAGATACCAATGGCAAAAAACAAGTCTTCTCTCTGGATCCCCTGCCAAAAGCGTTTGAACTGGTCGGTACTTATACGGAATAAATTTGTATTTTTTTAAAATCCTTTGAACAGTACCATAACTGAAATTAGAGTCCTTGAGAATATCTGCTATTGAATTCTCACGATAAGCTTCAAAATATCCAATAACTGCAATTTCCGTGGCCTCGCTTATTATGAATTGTTTTTTTGCCCTTGTTTTAGCAAAAACATTTTCGTTGCCCCTAAATTTTCGATAAAGTCTCAGAAAATATCGTTCATACGGTTGAATGCGAGCGGGATATAATTCACTGTAGTATTCTCTTGCTCTCAAGGAGGATTTTTCTGCACACTAAATAGCATTCTAACATATCACACTTTTCTTCATGGGAGAACATTTTTCTTTAAATTAATGACACAATAAAGCTTATAAACAAGTATTTACACTAATGTTTGGCATTATTTGATTTTATCATTGTTTTCCAAAGCCTTCTAGTTGCGAGTATGTCCAGTTTAACAATTTGTCGCTTATCTTAATGCTGTCAAATCGTGAACGCCATGTTGTTTTCATAGCCGTCTTAATATTATAATACTGCAAATAATTAAAAATATTTATCGTTATTTTGACTTTATTTTTGACTTTAGCGGAAAAGTCATTATGAACTTTTTTGTTTAAAATTTGATGCTTTAACAGAAAAAAATATAATATACAGGGGTTTCCATTTAAAAAAATGTTATTTTACTGAAAAAAATGAAAATAACGACTCTCAATTGTTTTTTTTTGATTTCTCATTTTTACCAGCGTTAAAAATGCTACTAGTTTGCTAATTCAAACAACTTTGTATTTTCACTAATAACAAAGTTACTAATGGTGGACACTTAATTTGGATAACCCTGTATATATATATATATATAATATATATTAATATTAAAAAATACAAATTCTTTAAATCTTGTTTTAATAAACTAACCTAGACACATTGATTTGTACATTCATTCAAAACCCCTGAACCTAGCCACTTCACTCTCCCTCCACTAATCTTTCGTTTCAGATTACGTCTATTCAGACACCTGGTTCTACGTATCCTTATTGGTTAGCATGCATACAAGAGGTTAGGCCACGCCCCCCCTCTCGGTATGTAATTTTGATGTGAAAGCAGTCAGCGTTCAGCTTGGAAGTTTTCATGTATATTCACTAATGATAAAACGCCTCTAACCTACCGATTGATCGTTCTCCTGTTTGCATTCACCCCCTACCCCCCACTGTGTGTGTGCGTGTGTGCTTGTGTGCGTGTGTGCGTGTGTGCGTGCGTGCGTGCGCGTATGTGTGTGTCAGGATTGCATATAAATTCAGTCGCGCCTGCTACGTTACACTAGTTGAGTCTGTTAGTACCAGGATTTGTATCCCCATAATCAATATCATTATGAAAGCAACCGCGAATAATCTAGATGACATTGCAGTTCTCCATAATGATTTGGATGCAATTATAGCAGACCTGGAAGGCGAGGGAGTTCAACTGGCTTAGATGACAACTGACATAGAACTCCAGGAGTTCATTCAAATTTGACCTGCTGAAACTGCCGTGGTAGAAAATAGAACGGATAACTCTACAACAACGCTTCCAGCAGTGAAGGCTCACATGTCGCCTTCAAAATCGTTAAACCAGATGAAGCACGTAATTTAAAGGACAAAGAAAACCACCACGAAGCAGCCGAACAGTCAAACTGGTATAAATGCTTTCAAAGAAAGTATAATGCTAAAGAAATCGGACATCCAAACTACCAAGCGACAACTGGCAGTGGAAATGGTTAAGAGCCAAAAACTTCGAGATCTTCTTCATCAAGACGAGGAACTTCTAAAACAGTTAGACGAGGACAGAAAACGCGTACATGAACAGAAAAATAGGAGGAAACGGCAAATCGACGATGCGATGAAAAGGGTTGACAACTTGGAAGAAATAGCACAACGGAAGAGGGGCAAGCTTTTAGAAGAAAAAGAAATACTTTTTCTTTTATTTGATTTTTGAAAATGTACATATATATGTATAATGTAATAAACCTTGAAATTAATTTTTAATTTAATTTTTTTCCGTCATGTATAATACGTGTATTATAATTCTAAAAAAAAAAAAATAGATTAGGTCTGCTCAAGTAGAGGTATGTTTGTAATTTTCGAAATACTTATTATTCCAGTAATTAGTAAGTATTTTTCTCCAGGACTGTTTTTCCAAATCCGGCAGACCTATCAACATTTATTGACCATTTATTACCCATACTTTCCTTGACTATATATATTCTAACTGATTGCAAGTCATTTTTACTGATAAGACCTATATTTTTTTAAATTTGAAAATATGTGTGCAAAAAAATTACAAGTATATATGTTATATATTATACAAAAATAATAAATATCACAATCAATACATAAAAAAACTAGGTCTAATAATCAAATATACATAAGTATACAAAAAAAACAAAATCTATCATTTCTATCCATGAGACTGTCGATCGTACCATGTTTCAATTAAAGCCCATAATATAATATAGGGGGTGACAGCTAGGGGTGCCAGCTGCAGGACGTATACGATTCTCATATTTCTAACCAAGATGCACAACAAAAAAATGTTAAGTTCTAACCGTGAAATACTAAAAATATTCTTTATAGAATGCGAATACTGTATCGTGCGTCAATTAATCCCCATATAATATAAGGAGTGACAGCTGGGGGTGCTACCTTCAAGAAATGTATTTCTAACCTAGATACACGATAAAAGAAATCTCAAATCCTGACCGTGAGACCTTCGCTACTAGCACAGGTGACATTGCATAGATTTGTGGCAGGAATGCCGAACATCCTTTGTTGAAAGTTGTCTCAAAACACTATACAGTGCCTTTATTTAAACCCTTATAATATATAGCATGAGAGCTTGGGGTACCACCTGCTATATATAGGAGCGCATACATAGAAATTCTAAACACTCTTTATAGATAGTTTTCTGGGAGTAGTGTACCGTAATAAAAAAAAGTCCCTTCTTTCACCAGCCATTTCTATTTGGTCTTGTGTGGATGTTGTCGAATATTCGGTCGCATATTATGAGATATATATATATATATATATATCACAGTGGAGTGACTTTCTGTCACTGGCATTGTATAGGGCAAGCCTCACCCCATTCAGGTGGTTTACAATTCTCAATTCGAATTTACGGCAGCTATCATTGTTAGTGTAAACAATTTGTACATTGTGTATCTTCAGCTGAACAATGATATCGAGCACATATTCATATTTTTTGATGAGCTTTCAAGAAGAATCTATCGTTATCTTTAAGGTGAAATTTGAAAATTTCCAGTAGGTTGCAGACATCTATCGGAAACTTGACATTTCTTTGATCGCCTTCACTCAGTTGATGGAAAAATTTTATGGCATTACAATATAATGTATTCATATATTTATCATGCATTGATTTTCTTCAGTGAAATAACAACAACTCAATATGTCAGGTATTTATTTAATAATAATGCATGGTATAATCCTATAGTAAACTAAATAGATAGTGTTCAATCCTCATACACGAGGTTATGTTTGAGGATAATTTCGGGAGGTAAATACCTTGCAATGTCACACAGAAATGATCTACGGTTATAATTAATCATATCACTACAAAACTGCTCAATAGTACAATCTTCTTGTAGATACTGCGTGCACAACTTCTGCCCTTCCTCGTATTTCCGAATTAGTCTCCTGATCCTTCCAACCTCGTTATCATCCCAACAAATATTCATATCGTAGTTTGTTGAATGTTCAGCGTCAAGCATCAAATCCGTTAACTGGCACACTAATCTCATGATAGCTGTACGTAGATCCTTTGAATCAGGCCAACGCAATGATGCATAATGCATCCACATCTTGTCAAACCAGAGTGGGTGTACTGCTTCTGGAAAGATAAATATACTGGTCAATATAAAGTGGAATATGATATTTGTCAAAACAACTTTACCTGCTGCATTTTCCTAACCCGGTTCTGATCTGAACCTTTATATTATTTATACCCATCATATTAGCCTATAGTACCTCATATTTTTAAACTAATTACTACTGTCAACAAAGTCAAATTTTATCAAACATTTTGAACGACTACCTGGTGTCTTTGGTGAGCTTTAACCGATATACAGCACCGAACTGCTAAGAGGCTTTACATTCGGCAGGGCCACTGAGAGGACAACAATACCTTAACTACACCTTCCATCGACTCTTTTTCTATTACAAACGCGTTTATGATCGGGGACAGAACCGCAAAAATGTTTTACAGTTCTTGATAAGGTACCGACAAGGCGATTGAGAAGGCAACAATGCCTTACACCGTCCGTCGACTCTTTTCATTTTAGAATACGTTGGTGGTCGGGGACCGAACCGATAATAGGTTTTATGTAGAATCAGCATGCCCATTGAGAGTCGATTCTTTTCTATTATACAATAGGTTATTGATCGGGGGCCGCAGCTTCAAGAGGTTTTACAATTAGAATGGTCATTGAGAGGGCGGCAATGCCTTCCATCGAGCTATTTATACGATACAAATTTGTCGGTATGGATTATGGTGGAGGGATGAGAAGATTGAAGTGGGAAAAGAGCACTGCTGCTATCATCGGATAAAGGTGAAGACATGACAAGATTGAAGCGGGAAAAGAGCGCTGCTGCTCGTTCGCCCAGTCGATGAGTTATAGTAGGGGGGAGGGAGGTGGGGAGGGAAGAGGGTGTGTATCAGTTATCCAAACCCTCCATCGACTCATTTCTATTAAACAACACGTTTTCGATGTTCTTACCCCACCACACAAACCACCCCCCAACCCTCCCGGGAGGCAGTTGAAGTGGCACTCCCCTACTACTGGTTTTATTAATTCTTCACCGATAGTATGAGGTTTCTTGTGCTTTGGTATCATAAAAGCTATTTCAAATGAAGCTTTGAGATGCTGTGATAACTTCCCGATTTACCCAGTCTCATCCGCTTGAGTGATTCTGCTTTAGAAGAAAAAAGCTCTTTCGTCTTCAAAACCAGAGTAGGATGTTGTTGCTTAGTAGATGGTCTATGGGGATTCGGTCTCAAAACTTCCAAAATCCGCCACCAGAGGCGCTGGCGTCGCGCGCCATTGACAGGTTGTTGGACGGAATCTGTAATCATGAGTTGGGGATTCCGCCGCTAGATGGCGCTGTCAAACCAAACGGAATCTGTGTGTCATTGGACACCTGTCATGCGTCATTGGGCATCTCACGCATAGATGGCGTTAAAACGTCATCTGTCATACGTCATTGGACACCTGTCATTGATGGGTTGGGCATCTCGCGCATAGATGGCGCCGATTTGTTTGGCGGTGTACAAACCTAACGGAATCTATGTGTCATTGGACACCTGTCATTGAGGGGTTGGGCATCTCGCGCATAGATGGCGCCGATTTGTTTGGCGCTGTACAAACCAAACGGAATCTATGTGTCATTGGACAGCTGCCATTGATGGGTTGGGCATCTCGCGCATAGATGGCGCCGATGTCGCACCTGTCTGGTGTTGGCGTGGATTACGGGGGGCATTCAGAACGTGTATACAGGGGTGCATCGAAAAATAGCGGATCGATGGACCGACGGTATATCGTTAAATCGTATATAGCAAGGCGTGACCTAAATAGCGTGGTGGGCTCCTCTGGTCGGTCGGTCGGTCGGTCAGAATGTCTCATAACCTGTATACGATGTACTGTTATTATTATACAGGATGATACCGTTCAAAGTGAAAATAGTATAGACATTCTGACAATTATTTCGCAAACCAGAGGTATTTTCAATAAAACTACAATAATACGTTTAATATTTTATTGAAAATAGAAAAAACTACATAGGTAATATGATATTTGAAAACCAGTGGCGTAGACGTTCAACATTTCTCTGGGTACAGGAAAATTGTCCGTTGGTGTGGCATGGATTGGAATCAGCAACAAAGTTTCCAGTAGCACACGGTGTACCATCATACTTGCAAACATCAATAATGTTGGGAAAAACACCAAAAATGTGACATTTCTTGAGTAAAAAGTTTGCTTTCTGTTCTCCACGAACGTAGACATAGTCAGCCGCATATATCACCTTATTTTTAATTATTTCATTTAACTTGGAATATTTAACGTCGCCGGAAGAATATTTAAGCCCATGGAAATTCTTCTCCAAGTAAGCGACAGTTTTCTTGTCTTTAGTATTTAATGTAGAAAAAGGTTGCGGAGGTGTAAAGATGTAATGACTTTTCTTGAAACCAATTTCGATACATAGTTCTTTAGGTACGAATAATCCGTCAACTGTAAAGCCTTGAATGTCAACAAACGCGATCCTCATGATGTCTGATGCGGAACTGAGAGTCCTTCGTTGCTTACGAGATGGTTTTAATAACTTCGGTGAGGGGGAAGTACTCGATTAAGCAGTCATGTATAATGATGCAGTAGGCCTTGGTGTTGGTTGGAAAGCCAGTATCGGCTTCGATATCCAATCTAACATCAACAGTTGATGATTTCATGGTTTCCTCTTGTTTGGAACAGTCAATAACAAACAAAGCGCGATTTTTAAAAGCGGTATAATCTAAAAGACATCTCTTCAGAGGAGAAGAAGAAGTTGTATAGCTGGTTTGAAAGTCGCTATAGTTGAAATGAGCTTCAGTAAAGTGATTGTTTGCAAAGTCCAATTGCATACGTTCGTTGGGATAGTATTCACCATTTAAAGATACTCGAATACTAGCAGCATTCACGTGATCAAACAGGGTCGGGTCTGAGGTTGCGACGTCACGTTTACCAGTTTGGAAACATACTATAATGAAACGTGGTCTTTCGATTGCGGTGCTAGTTTTAACTGACCATATTTCTCTTCTCGCATCTGCGGTAATTGCAGGCAGTTCATTCAGATCCCATTTTCTAAACGGTATAAGTATCGGCTTATCAGTTTGAATAGCTTTCAAAAGTTGTTCTTTCACATCATCACTCGGGTAAATATGTTTGATTTTCA